ACTAGGAGGGAGGGGCGCGCGGCCCAGCCCTTGCCTCCTCTCCTATTCTCCACTAAGGCCCATGTAGGACCATTAAGCCCCCGAGGGGTTCCGGTAACCTCCCGGTACTCCGGTAAAATCTCGATTTCACCTGGAACACTTCCGATATCCAAATATAGGCTTCCAATATATCAATCTTCATGTCTCGACCATTTCGAGACTCCTCGTCATGTCCGTAATCACATTCAGGACTCCGAACAAACTTCGGTACATCAAAACTCATAAACTCATAATATAACTGTCATCGAAACCTTAAGCGTGCGGACCCTACGGGTTCGAGAACTATGTAGACATGACCGAGAACCATTTCCGGTCAATAACCAATAGCGGAACCTGGATGCTCGTATTGGCTCCTACATATTCTACGAAGATCTTTATCGGTCAAACCGCATAACAACATACGTTGTTCCCTTTGTCATCGGTATGTTACTTGCCCGAGATTTGATCGTCGGTATCTCAATACCTAGTTCAATCTCGTTACCGGCAAGTCTCTTTACTCGTTACGTAATGCATCATTCCGTAACTAACTCATTAGCTACATTGCTTGCAAGGCTTATAGTGATGTGCATTACCTAGAGATACCTCTCTGACAATCGGAGTGACTAAACCTAATCTCGAAATACGCCAACTCATGTACCTTTGGAGACACCTATAGAGCTCCTTTATAATCACCCAGTTACGTTGTGACGTTTGGTAGCACACAAAGTGTTCCTCCGGTAAACAGGAGTTGCATAATCTCATAGTTGTAGGAACTTGTATAAGTCATGAAGAAAGCAATAGCAAGATACTAAACGATCAAGTGCTAAGCTAACAGAATGGGTCAAGTCAATCACATCATTCTCCTAATGATCTGATCCCGTTAATCAAATGACAACACATGTTTGTGGTTAGGAAACATAACCATCTTTGATTAGTGAGCTAGTCAAGTAGAGGCATACTAGTGACATTAAGTTTGTTTATGTATTCACACATGTATCATGTTTCTGGTTAATACAATTCTAGCATGAATAATAAACATTTATCATGATATGAGGAAATAAATAATAACTTTATTATTGCCTCTAGGGCATATTTCCTTCACACATGACTTGGCTGATAGCTAACAAATTATGCATGCATGCATTAACTAATCCATCAATCTTCTCGAACAAGGTTAACTCTAACAATCACCCCCTTAACCTTGTTGTCACTTATTCCTCTCTTGAATCCCATGGTCGTAAATGTCGATTGTGTAACACAGAAATGTCTGCCAATGCCATCTTGTCATGCCGATTGTCGCCGTCGCCGTTGGTTTCAATAAGAGGTGCACCTCCTACACCTTCACCACGGGTGTGCGACCGCGACACGCTCGCTGCCGCATGTTTGCCACTGGTGCCGCACCTTGCCGATGACTCTCCTTCAGGGTCGTCACCGGTGACGCAACTTGCAGGTGACTTGCCTCCATGTTCGCCACCAGTGCCGCACTCGCTCGTGACTCACCTCCATGTTTGTCACCGGTGACACAACTCGCCGGTGACTCGCCTCCATGTTGTCGATGATGACACACCTTGTCGACAACTCAAACATGGAACTCCTTATGGCAATGTCCTCCGCTCCATGGCTATCACGTCCTTGCTGCCGGTGACGCAACTTACTGGGCAGCATACATTTCTCCATCGCGCTCATGATGCAGCTCGACGATGATGGAGACATGCACCAGCCGCTAGCAGCATCGTGCCGCCAACGGTGTCCACCTTGCCCCGCCGACCTCCACCTCACATGAAGTTCGCCGCGCCTCCACCACCGCCTTGGATCAACAAGGCTCTGATGCCAATTGTCGGCGCCGCCTCTCGCAGCGCTGCTTGTTCTTCCTCCTCTCTCAAATCTCTTGTGGTTTCTCTCAAGAACACACACAGACACACAATGGTGGAACTCAAGAACACACACACACACATACCAAGGAAGAACACAAACATGCTTTGCCGTGGGCTCTCTTCCTTGGCTTTCACAATGGCTACATTTTTGCTTGTGCCCTCACGGCTTTTGTTTCCATTTACTCAATGCAATATATATACACGAAGGTAGGCACTCAGGCCATGCAAAACTCACGCCACTAACCCACTAACGCCACGGCCTACAAGCACGGCCATGTCCAATCAACCCCTGCACTAACTAATCTAGCTATGTGCACGCCCACGTACACAACTCATGTAGCTTATCCTTCAACGGCCACATGACTTGGCTGATAGCTAACAAATCATGCATGTATGCACTAAGAGCAACTCCAATGGAACAACCCAAACGGACGGCGATTTCGTCCGCTTTTTGTCCGTTTGGGTCGACCGCCCGCCCGGCGTCCGCCCTGTTTTAGATATGGGTCGGCAGCGCGCCCAACGTGCCGACCCATATGTGCCGGCGCGGCCGGATGGCCGCCCTATTTTGCATTGATGAATTTGCATAGTTTGAACCGAATAAAATAGCATAGTTATTACAAGCCAAATAAAAATAAAAATGTCTCGCATAGTTTTGCAAACGAATAAAAGAAGATACATCTATTGGTTGCCAACATGAGCCCACATATGCTCAACCAAATCATTTTGCAGTTGCATGTGAGTTTACCAATCACGCATGTCTTGATGAAATTGGGTGAATTGTTCAAACATTGCCGCTCCTCCATGCTCAGGGACAACATTCTCACCCTGATGCTGAAACCCTTGATCGTACAGATGTTTCAGCCGCTCGTCTCCTACGATCATATTATGCATGATCACACAAGCAGTCATCACCTCCCAAAGTTTCTGCATTCTCCAGGTATTAGCAGGATACCGAACGATGCCCCATCGAGATTGCAAAACACCAAAGGAACGCTCGACATCTTCCTAGCACTCTCTTGCTCTTGGGCAAATCTTTTCCTCTTCTCTCCGACAGGGTTGGGTATTGTCTTGACAATAGTGGTCCACTTAGGAGAGATACCATGACCCAGGTAGTATCCTTTGTCGTAGTTGTGGCCGTTGACAATAAAGTTCACCGATGGGCTGTTGCCTTCGGCAAGCCTAGCAAACACAGGCGAGCGATGAACCACGTTGATATCATTGTGTGATCCTACCATGCCAAAGAAAGAGTGCCAGATCCAGAGATCTTGAGACGCCACGGCCTCTAGTATGACAGTGCAAGCCCTGACATGGCCCTTATACTGCCCTTGCTAAGCAGAAGGGTAGTTCTTCCACTCCCAGTGCATGCAGTCTATGCTGCCAAGCATCCCTGGGAAGCCCCTACTGGCATTCATCGCCAACAAATGGGTTGTATCTTCAGCAGTCGGCTCTCTCAAGTACTCAGGGCCAAACACAGCAATAACAGCCTTGAGGAACTTATACAGGGACTCTAGGCATGTAGACTCGCTCATACGGACGTACTCGTCAATGAGATCACCAGGCACTCCGTATGCAAGCATTCAGATGGCAGCAGTGCATTTCTGATAAGAGGAAAAACCAATCTTGCCAACGGCATCATCTTTGCACTCGAAATAGTCATCATGGCCGACCACCCCCACTCTAATATGATTGAAAAGATGCCTACTCATACGGAAACGGCGGCGGAATTTTTGATGTTTGAACAACGGGTTTGTTGTATCAAAGTAGTCCTTCCAAAGAAGGAAATGCCTGCTCTCTCGGTTGCGATTCAACTCCGGAAGGTGGCCCAGAATGGAGCCACAGAACAACGGCCAATGGTTGTTGAGGTGGTGATGGACCAACACGGCAGCCAATATCTCCTTCTCGTCATCGGACGGCGAAACATCGGAGTCGCAAAGGAAATTGTGAAAAAAGAACTCATTGACGGAGTCCATTTTGTACCTTGGTAAACTGTCGAACAGCTTACGAGCGTCGACGAGGGAGACGGATGGCGAAGGGAGTCACAGCACGCACGGACCAGCTAGCTGCCCTGCCGGCGCCCGACGAGTGGGCTGGCGTCCGACGAGCATGCTGGTGAGGATCTGGCCGGGCAGCGAGGCGGCTTCTTGGTCGGGGACGGCTGTGTGGTGTGGGGTGCGGGGGTGGGAAGAAGTTGGCTCCTCGGCGGCAAGACAACGGTGGCGGGCAACGTGGGAGTGGGCGGCGTTGCTGGGCGGATGTGGAGGCGCCGACAGCTGGTAGAGTCACCGGCAAAAATGGGCGTCAGCGTCGGCGATGAAGGAGGCGGGCGAGGGTTGTTGTTGGATGGGGGAAGGCCAATGTGCTACCGACCAGCGGGCCCGGGGAGGAGAAGGCGAGTGTGCGCGTGTCCATCGCGTGTCCGCGCCGACACAAATCCGGCTCAAAAATGGGCTGGGAATGGGTCGCCCGCGGATGAAAACTGGACGCGCGTCCGTTTGGGACGACGCATTGGGCCGCCTTTTGTGTCCGCGCCAACCCAAACGGACGGCAGCGGACGAAATGGGTCGCCCCATTGGAGTTGCTCTAACTGATCCATCAACTTCTCGAACAAGGTTAACTCTAACACTACAGGATGAGCCGTTGCAGATGTGGGGCATCCACGACCACGAGCTCCTTCGCCATGGAAAACTAGAGGACCGTGCAGCAGAGGCTTTGACTCCTGATTCGGACGTGCGACAGAAATTCGTAGCTAGCGATGAGCGCGAAGATTATGAATTCTGGGCTGCAGGCGAGCAGGTACTCGAGGTCGCACTCCTCCATTAAGGTGTGGCAAATGTCGAGCTCTTGGAGGTGGGGAAAGACATCGGGGCGGCGTAAGAGGTGTCCGAGAATTGCCAAACGCCAAGGTAGAGGCGGCGGAGGGGGGAGCGCATCGAGGGGCCAGGGGCGGTTGACGAGGATGAGGCTTTCCACACCCTTGGCGGCGAAGAGGCGCAGCCACTGGGCGAGCGCTTTCTCCCTGAATCCCATGAAGTTCCAGTAGAGATGTGCCCAGCAAAAGGAGCCCGGGTGGGAGGCGAGAACGTGCGAGACGGCAGAGGCAAGGGCGCTCTAGTCGATGTCGTCTCGCAGGTCCACCTGCCGGAAGAGGTGGCGGTCTTTGAGGAGGAGCGGGGTGGAGCGCCAGATGCTGCGCCAGCGGGGAGAGATGGCGGTGGTGCGCGCGGCGTCCTTGACGGGCATGCGGTAGACGATGTTGCGCAGGAGGTCGTTGGGGAGGTTGTTGATTCGGTCCTCGCCGTCGTCGCCGCGGCCGAAGTTGGGGTCAGAGGATGGGTTGAACTTGTGAAGGACAGGGAACGGAGACACCGGGAGCCAGGCGTATATGATTTTTAGAATATCCTGGAGCCCCATTGCTCCAGGCTCCGGCAACGGCGACGGCGGTGGGAGCGAGCACGAATGGGGTTTCTGTCGACCAGCAAAGTGAGAAGGAGGGTGGTTCTTTTTTCAGGACTGGGAGGGGGCTTCTCGCAAATCGAAACTTGCTAGGGTTTCGCGTTCGTGGGCCCGATGCAGGGAGCCAATGGGCCGACCGGCCGACCAGTGTTCTACTCGTGTGAACTGCATAAATGGAGACAAGACATCCAATCTGTATGTGCACCGTAATATCCCATTGAGGTAAGATAAGGATATTTCACAATTGCTGGCCTGTATTTTGCCACTTTCATCAGAAAATTAAGTTTAGTACTATACTTGTGCTCCCTAATTGACATGCCAAATCTTACATTGAAGGCGAAGCTTGTCTGTTATTGAACCAAGTGATGAAAGGGAAGAACAAGCGGGAAAAAAACAAAAATCAACTCCCGGTGATGTAATGAAGCCCTGGAACTGTGATGACACAAGTAATGATATAGTTTTGCATCTTAATTTATTGCTATGGCGGAAACGAGCAATTGTTTTGCCACTGATTTGATGCCATACGTAATTATCTCTACTTGTGCAAACAGGGATCTTCTTTGAAGATACCATATATTTTAGTGGAACTACACAAGAAGATGTTGGAAACATTAAACTAATCGAGGAGTATATAGTAAGCATGGCCACCCCCGTAAATAGGAACAGATGATTCCCGAGAAGTGCTTCATCTGTATGCTCTACACAATCAGCCTCCTGACAAATGTTGGTACTCACCCACTGATTTCATCCATATGATTGAGCTTTGTCATCTCTATTGGTGTTGTGCTACTGTTTAGATACTGTCATGAAAAAGTGGTATTGTCCTTGAGAAGTGCTTTATCTGTGTTGTTTTAAATATTTCCTTTCCTTTTTCTCGAGTAAACAGGGATCATCTTCCTCTGAAGAAGAATATGGAGTACGTGAAGTGACTAGTTTCAATTATGCCAGGATGAAGAGCCCTGTCTATCTTCTCATCAGAAGGAGCAGTTAAAGGATGGTTACATTACTCCCCACAAGACCAAACTAACTTCAGCTCAGAAGGACTGACAAATATCCATTTTTTGATGTGATGCACGAGTACAATGTTGTTCTAGGATTCCTTCTGGTGAGTTCCATTTTTCTAAAAGTGTGCTCTACATGGACCATGTATGTGCCTGTTGAAACTGTCAATTCATAGTACAGTTTGCTTTATACTAATCGCTTTTTTGAATTTGTGCAAACAGGGGTGCTCAGCTTGATTTCAACGGGAACTGCACAAAATGTTCATGAATACATCGAATCATTCATTTCCACCACAAAAAAGGAGGTGCCCATAAGTTCAAGGCATTGCAACATATAAGGGCGAAATCATACAAGCTACGCGCGAATTTGGTTGATTTTGGTGGAACTGAACAAAAAGAACAGCTGGTTTATTTAGCAGGAGGTGCCATGTCAATGGCCGAACTGATGGCAAACCCTGCCCATTGCACAATCATAGGCATTTGATATTTTGAAATCGGACAACCTTGTCAAATTTTGCTCATTGATTTTGATATGCGTTTGATATTTTCGAATGGGACGCCCTTTGCTGTCAGCAACGGCGATCATTTTTTTCTTTATTCTTTAGTTATGAAGTAAATATTGCCTCTGACATGTGAGTCGCTTAGATGCATAATCATCGATTGTTTTGAATGTTCTCTATGAATTGCCAGGCCTGTGTGTTTGATTGCAATGTACGGAAACGCTAAAAAGCTGCTCAAACTCTTTGTACTCCTTCTGTTCCTTTTTACTTCGCACATTGTGAAAGTGCATACTTTTTTGTATAAGATCCATCAAAGTAGAGATACTTTGACTGCATACAAAACTTGTATGCAGACTAGAAAGGACCGAAGGGAGTACATGTGAAACTGCTGCAAACGTGGTGATCACTCTGGGAATAATGCTAGTACGTATTGTTTTGCATGTTCATCCAATGCCAGTGATACAGGAATTCAAACTAATCGAAATAAATTCATTCATACACGGTCGGATTTCATATAAACATGCCGGATTTCATTACATTTCATACATTCTTCAACTAAAAAGGGGTGTTTGTGGCCGCATGCATCTCCCAGATGTAGAGGCCGGGGGTCATCCTCCTTTTCGAAAAAAGGGGTGCGCTGGAGGTATAATTAATTAACCGAAGCTACCCACCTGTGTCCCACTGAGCCAAACAAAAGCTTCAGTGACTTAACTGCAGGTGCAGTTGCATAACTGACATGTGGCCTGTTGGGCCCACGTGTCATTCAGCCAACTGCACCAGCAGTTAAGTAGAAGCAGCGTTCTTCTCCAGCGCAGCTCTCCGACTCCACGTCGCCGCCAAGAAGCTAACCGGCCGTCAATGGTCAACCCGCCTAGCTTGGCTTCAACCGGAGGGTAGCAGTGGTGGCCTTACTTGGACCCGAGCGGCGGCGACCTACCATGTTCTACTCTTCCTCGTTTTCTGTGTGGTGCGGCCTCATTGGCAGTGGGGCGGGGCCTCGGCGGAGCCGGCGATGCCTCTATCTCGTTGCCGGCGGGCGGCGCATCAGCGGAGCGGTGGAAATCCTCCCCCACGTTGCCGGCACGGTGGGGCCTCGGCTGAGCCGGTGATGTCCTCTGCCTCGTTGTTGGCGGGGCGGGGCCTCGGCGGAGCCGGCGGTGTCCTCTGCCTCGTTCTTGGCGCCGCGGGGCGTCGGCGGAGCCAGCGGTATCCTCTGCCTCGTTGTAGGCGGTTGCAGCCTCCGCCACCCGCATGCGGTACCACCAGCGCTCGAGGCGGCCCTTGCAGGCGGAGCGGTATGAGTCGAGCAGCGCCTCCTGCTCCGCGGCAATCTGCTCCTCCGCCTGCAGGTGCTCCTGGAGGAGATGGTGGTTGTAGGCGGCGTTGGCCTGCGCCTCCCGGAACTGCTCCTCACGCATCTGCCTCACCTTGTCCATATATTGGGCACGGGCCTCGCCGATGGTCATGGTGCAATGCAACGGCGAGGATGGCGCGGAGGAGGGGGTTGGCGCCGGATCATCGACTACCATGTTCTCCATTGGGACGTCGCCGTCCTCCGGCTGCCTGCCGGCCAGCCGGTCGGCAGCAATGGCTGCTATCTCCTTGTGGTCCGTCGTCCGCCCGTCCCAAAGAGCGCTGGAGCGCGAGGAAGCCATGGTGGGCAGTAGTGGTGTGGACAGGAGAAAGGGAACGGATGCGGATGACTGCGGCTATGGCCGGCGCAGCAATTTATATAGCAATGGTGGGCGGGCGAAGGGACGGACGTGTGGCACCGGAGTAGCTGCCTCGGCAACCGCGTATCATTAATGTGTGTGGCAGATGGACGGACGGACGACACTTGTGTCGTTTGAAGGTGGAGCAATCGCCTGCACTGGGAAGCGGGACGACCGGCGCTGACTGTTTCGGACGGAAAGCGCGCGCGGGCGAGGAGATTACTTTACTTGGATAGGATGACAATGGGGACCCACCAGGTCCATAGCCTCACGTACGCAAGTGCCTCCTTATTATATATATATATATAACTATAATTTATTCTTCTTCCTCCTGGTTTCCTGACATCACGGTCCCACACTATTGTCTACCTATGTACTCCCTCCTTTCCGGTTTATAGGGCTTATCTCAAAATTTTAGTTTTTCCATTTTATAAGGCTCAATTTGGTTGTTTTCCATCACATGTTCAGATTCCGAGGTGCATTAAATCATTGCATGCAAGTATTAAGAGAAAATTGACCAATGCATGTACTTTATGCATGCATGCATTGCAATTAATGCATTGATAAACATAATTTTTTTGAGGATAACAAGAGCATTAATTAGGTGCTTTTGCAAAACTAGAAAAAGTATTCCACCACTCGCCATCTACCTTGATTGGTGAGATTTTTGAATTGAGCATTATAAACCGGAAAGGAGGGAGTAGTCAATAAACGAGAGAATTGCACAAGAAGCGGCCGACAGCTAGGACCAAGCAGCTCGAGCAGTATTTGTGTTTTTGAAGTGTGAGCACTACAGAGTTTTTCGATGTTTACCCCAAATATTAATTTTTCTCCTCTGAACAACAACGAAAACATCGTTGCAGGTATTAACTGGGCGGGCTGTGGCCCGTCTAGCCCAGGCCAGATATCCAGCCCAGACATTAATTTTTTTCAAGCTGAAAATGGCTAGCCAAACTATACTTTTTTATGAATACCCAGGCAAGGTCAAGTTGTTATTCTCCGCCCCGCTGGGCTGCAAATCTTTCCTAGGAGGGATGCTTTAGGCTTAACAAGAAAATGGGCTTTAAGAAATAATAAATGGGATGTAATTATAAAAACTGGGTAGTAACTATAAAAAATGCACCAAACAGTGATTAGTTTATAAAATATTATTTTTGGAATATTGAAAATTTCAATTTCATTAATTGTTGCGAGTGGAATGTTTCGTTGGATTTTTACGCAATATAAATTTATATTGAAATTGTATTTAATCTGACTAAAATTTCAGGATAAAAATATTCGGATCCCATCAAAATGTGGGAAATTTTATTGAATTATGTTTTGAACGGTTGGTTGAAATAGGTTGTACTTTTAACAAACTGTAAATGGGCTGTAGTAAATTCCATTAGAATTAAAAAATGGGCTACACATTCTTACAAATCTCAAATGGGCTATACGTTCTCTGCCACACACTTTTGGCCTTACTAAGTTGACGCGTCCCCTAAAAAAACAGAGTTGACGGGTATGCAAGGCTTTGTCAACTTATAGTCAACACACGGTTCTAGCAGCAGTGGCCATTGGATGTCCATCCAACGGATGCCGTGCTTCTTCTTCAATCTCGGATATTCTAGCTTCACCTGCCCAAAAAATGATTCATCCCCCTGACATCTGGGGCACACCGTTTCGGAAGCTGACCTGTGGGCCTACTAAGTTGATGTACCAAGGGCTTTGTCGACTTAGTCAATATGCAGTGACCGTACGATGTC